ATTTTATGCTTCGTTCAGTCATCGTTAACATCCACGTATCACATATTGCTATTGATGACAGATGCATCTAGTTATAATACTAATTTCTCGCTTAAACCTGAACTTAGATTATTGATGTAGTTCAAAAAATCTCAAGAATCAAAAAAACTAGTAGAATAGATTTCTTCAAGCTAAGATTTTTGCCAAATTTAGGGCAAATTGTCGACTGTAGTTCTCCAAAATTGGAGAAAATCGTCAGACAAGTATCTACAAACATGAATTTTCCCTAAATTCAAGGAGAATTGTCTACAGTAGTCTTCCAAAATCGGAAAAAATCGCCCAATAATCCCGCAAATTTGGAGAAAATTGGTACTACCAAAACTTTCGAATACGGAGACAGCTTCAATCAAAATTGGATGTGGGTGTGGGTGTGGATGTGTGAGTGTGGGTGTAGGGTGTGGATATGGGTGTGTGAGTGTGTGTGGGATGTGGGTGTGGGCTGTGCGGTTAATAAAGAGAAGATCCACATCCACACCCATATTCACACCTACACCCACACTCACACCCACCCATACCCATACCCACCTTCACCCACACCCACATCCACACCCACGTCTATTGATAGTAGAAAAACTGACCATAACACTCATACTTACAATCTCATCCACAATTACAAGCACATTCTCATTAAAGTTTCTTTCACGAATATACCCTAGACTGTCGGAGACTAGCAAAAAAACTTCAATTACCGCAAACGTCAATACTATTTGTGTACTGACAGATTTGAACATTATTTTAGAACCTTGTATCATAATATTTGTAGCGAAGTATTTGTAATTCATGCACTTTATGCAATACGATTTTCTTGAGTACATAGATGTGTTAATTTATTAGCAAGTATGTTCAAATTGTATATGAGAATAACTATTGAAGTTTATTGTTTTGCGTCTTTTTTTTTTATAAACATATTGATATTATATCTTGCAGATGTGAAAATAAAAAGTCAGTTGATGGGTTTTTTATATTATCTTTTCCTTTTTCATATCTTTTGAGGTATAAATGTATGTATATATATATATATATATTTTGTTTCATGTACATGATTCACTATGCACAAATCAATCATGCACATCGTTCCGTTCGCAAGTTTCGTAGTGTGCAGTTTAATATACATATCTTGTATATGTCTGTTTGCAATATGGTGTCTCATTAGAAATGAATAAAAAAAAAGAAAAGAAAAGCAACAAGTGAAATAACAAATGACAAAAAACTTATCGAGTTGCCTTGTTGCAAAGGTAAGAAACAAATCATTGGGAAAAAACCAAGTAAGCCGTGCCGTATATACATCACCCAATATAAACAACAAGTCTACCATACAAAGTGTTCGTCAATTCCTTGTAGTGAGTAACTTATTAGAATAATTTCAAAAGTAGAAACGAGTCTGTTAAAGAATGTACATAAAAGGTACTTCATAATAATTGATGATAAATTGCTAATAATATTTTTCATACTTTTTCTTGACGTATAAATGACTGAAATTTTTATTACATGTATATCTAATTAAGATCTATTATTCTTGAAACTTTCAGTCATCTATCTGTAACTAGCGGTGAAATACACATTGAGAAGATTGAAATACATTGATTTTCCTATTTTGATTTTTGAATTGTTTCCACTATCAAAATAAAATGCAAAAAAAAATCGAGTACGAAAATATATCTTTTTCAATCTTGTTAATGTATTTCATTATTAATTATACCAGTAGAAAGCTGAAACTTTTCAAAATAACAGATCTTGTTTAGATATACATATAAAAAAAATTTCAGCTATCTATACATTAAGAAAAAAATATGAAAAATATCATTACTTATTATGAAACACCCTTTATATAAAATTAGTATCTTTGATTTTCTCAATATCTTTCTTTCAAAAACATATCATAAGAGAATGTTAGACTATAAGTCTCTGCTTGCTCATACTCTTCTACGTGCTTCATGCAAAACATTTTTATCATTAAAGTGAATAAATATTCTACTACCCTAGTGAAAGTACTCACCTAGAGAGTACTCAAAAAGTACTCACGCTAGAAAATGCCGCGAGTACTCATGAGTACCCGGGACTTTTGAGTACTCGTCGGTCGTACTCACGATGAGTTTCGAGTATATAAGTACTACACATCCTTACTTTTATGGCAGTGTATTCTAGTCGAGTACTATGACCGTTCATTTCTTATAGTTAGTAGCAACTAGACCATTTAAAGTCCCGGTTTGTTGCCCTTTGAGAAGCTTCGTAGACTCTGGAAAAGTCCGCTTCTCTGCAACGCCACAGTCACAGAAGGAAATTATCTTGTTAAAATTGTGAACTTATCGTCCATAGAAAGTCAGCGCACGACATCTTTTTCGTCCTAACACATTCCATCCTGTATATTGAGTCTTTTCAGAAAAAAAGACGACGAGTACTACAATAAGTACTCAGGGTCTTGCCTATAAGTAGATGTGTAATGAAAGATTCGTATGAGTACGTATGTGAGTACTCGGTCATTTTATATACTCATGAATTTTTGAGAGTACTTGCTCGAGTAATTTGAGTACTCATGCTGGCAAGTCGTACTCTCTGGATGAGTACATTCACTAGGGTAATAGAACAGAATCCTTACTACTTATCAAGAATAGCACATTGGCTTTTTCCATGGACTTCCGAGCAGATAAGAAAAAGCGGTTTTTCTAGTATCTTACTCTTGAACACAATGAGTATGTTATGTAGTTCTCGCGTTCGGAGAATTTTTTAATTTTTCCAAATATATTCTAAATATGTCATCGAACATTCTTTGTCGAAAAATTTGTAAAAGATGATACCTTGGCTCATAGAAAAGCTTTTAGAATGTGAGAATATGGATTGACAAGAAAAAGACAAACTGCACCTTCCTGATGTGATTGTAGAGACGATCACTATTAAATCATGAAATAATTTGGCAAAATCTAAGAAGAATATATCATGATTTACTCACAATTTTGCACAGATTTTACGCCTATAAAAAAAATAGTTTTTTTTTGTGACTACAGCTGATAATTATTCAACATATTATCTTTCAGCCCATCGAAATGGTTTATAAATCTCAGTATCACACCAAAGTAAATGGCTGTGTTCACGTCGTAGTTAGACTGTTATCTTTCGACACCAAAATGATCAGAAGATGACTTCTAGCATCTCTAAAAGTTTCATTAAATTCGGAGATGGTCATCGATTTCGCCTATAGACATGTTCTTTGTTGAAGGCGAATACACGATCACTAGTGTAAGACTCTGAATATTGAAAGTCAATCATCAGTTTAGATGATGGACATACATATTTTGTGAAAAGAAAAACTTTTTTTTTTATTTTTCATTTCAGATTTTTTACAGTCAATAATTAAACTATTCGTACGTAGTGTATTCTACGTAAAAGTTCTAAATCATTAATATCTTCCTGTGAGCAAATAAAATGGGCGCACAGTTGTCGAAAATAAATTTAAAAATTATTGAATTAACTACAACAAATGATTCAACATTGAGTTCTGATACGATCGTATCAAGTTATGGTAAAGAAGATATCAATTTATTCTTACTAATAAAATATACTACTGGTATAAAGACAAGTTTGATTCTATCAGATGGTGATTATCGAATGTTGAACTGTGAAAATAAATTAATAAAACAAATCCGAAATCATCTATCATTATTAATAAATACAACCGAACAAACAGAAATCCATGACGAAATTGATCAAATACTTATGAAAAACATTTATAAATTAATGGTTAAGCAATACCGGAGAGCAATGAAAGATATTCAACATATTTTTAACACCAAAGAACAATTACAAAGAACTATCAAGAAAAAATTGGATATAGATAAAAATGTCGATGAATTCATTTCTACGATACCATATGCTACTACAAGAGTAGAAGAGGAAAAAGGATTGAAGTCGCGACCACGACCAGCGAGCAACAACTGACAGAGGTTGAATTTCAAAAATTCCTCTGCTTTAGTTCACAAATGTTAACATCAGTATTATTAATTCTGATTAGATCTGCTGAAAAGAATGATCCTAGTATCATTAATCAAATTTTGACTCTAGCTAGTCAATTTTGTGAACAAATCCCAATGAAACATTTATCATCACCTGTATTATCACCGACTACACATCATTTCTTGTGGAAACCGTTGCAACCTTTAACAAATTATATAAATGAATTATATCTATCAGAAGATCAACGCATATCAAACCAATGTGTTAAAATTCTGTTAAGTATCTCAATCGTAAAAGGATCACTAAAAGATATTTTATCTGTATTGAGAAAGCTAATATTCAATAAGGACGATGTTTACAATGTACGAGGTCTGTTACTACAAATGAACGATTGTGTATTAGGAACTATTAGTAGAAGAGAAGAAATGATGCATAAGACACTTATTAAAAAAGCAAGTGTCTCAACTTCGCATTCAGATTCAAATGAAGATGCAAATGAAAATGAAGATGCAAGTGAAAATGAACATGCAAGTGAAAATGAAGATGCAAATGAAAATGAAGATGCAAGTGAAAATGAACATGCAAGTGAAAATGAAGATGCAAATGAAAATGAAGATGAAACCGAAGGTGACAATGTCAACTCATACGTCAGACAAGACTACGACAATGATACAGCATTGAGCGAAGCTGCAGGTCAGAATATTGTCCGATGAATCCTATTGCATTTTCATTAAAATTTGCGTTACTTGTATATTAGTTCAAGGTCTACTGAGTAAAGTGTGGGTGTGGATACGAAGACAAAATCCTCACTCACACCCACACCCACCCACACCCTGCTGAGAGCAAAAGCAGTTGGAACCGAGACTCAAAATACACCCAAGAGTCAGAACCAAGATCGAGACAAAAAATAGGATTTTATGCGTGTCTACTCTTGACTGATTAGGTTTGTTTAGATGTTCTCGAGCACAACAGGAGTTTTGCTTGCATATATTAAGATTGAACTTTCCCGGGTAACGCCGGATACTTCCGTTAGTTGTTGATAAAATCTTGTTTTTAACGATACTTGGTCAATGTGTTGAAATTGATTGTCGGAATTATGCTTCGCATGAGATGTAAATGCGTGAAATGATTTTAATTCTGTATTATAATATTTTTCGATGCAAAGTTCACTATTGAACAAGAAGAATATAAAAAATAAATATAATTAGGAATCACAAAAACGAAGAAAAAAATCGAATTTATCCGAAATAATTATTATTCAATTGTTTTTTGATATGGATAATCTAATAGGTTTTCCTTCTACAGATCAAAATCATCTAAATTCATTGCGAGGTAATAATTCTTTCCTTTGATACAATGAAAATAAACCCTTATGAAATAATATTTAACCGACAAAATAATCTTCAGAGAGATCAAAATGACATCATGTTATTCGGTAATATTTACGTGAAATTCGATAAAATGTAATAGACAAGAATGACTGTGCTATTTAGACTATGTAAGCTGACGTCAAACAATCTCTAGGTCAAAATATTTGTCAGTCATTGAACAATGCCAGGTTAGGTTGGGTCAGGCCAGACGTTCAAACTATACGTTCGTCCTTTTTCTTTTAAATTAACATTATCATCTAGTATTGTCGATTACATCTGTTTCTAAAAGAAATATGTCTTATATCAACGAACAATCAGATGTCAATGAACCTTTGAGTCCTGAAAGAAAAAAATTTCGAAGTAAGTTTCGAATTAGATATATGTACATAATCATCTTCCCTCTTTATTTCTTTTTAGCAACATTGATAAAAGAAAAGTAAGATAATAATATATTTTAATACATAATAGTATATCTATTTGATTTCTCTTAGCATTTCGATCACTTGTATTGAACATATATCAAATGAACTTTTTTATGAAATTTTTGAATATCTTGATGCTTATAACATTTATAAATCATTTTTCTATCTTAATTATCGTTTTCGCGATCTTATTACTCATCGATCGTATTCACTCAGAATTCAATTTCGTTCACAAACAATATCAGAACTCATAGATTGTTGTAAAAATTTGATTATTCCAAATAGACATCATATTCTTTCATTGTGTTTGGATAATGAATCGATTATTAATAATTTTTTTACATATTGTATCATCGATTCATTATTCAATCATCTTCAATCAATTACTCTTAAAAATATTACAACCACCAATTCTATAATACCTCTTTTTTATATAAAATGTTTACCTTGTCTTTTCTCGTTGACTATATATTTTGATGCACGAAATAATTGTGATCTACATCACATCTATCAAATGATTCTCTCTTTTCCTTCCTTGAAATATAATAAACTATGGTTATTATCGTGTTCCGGATATAGACATACAAATATTTTGATACCTTTGGCAATCAATGAAAAATTCAGCACGATTGAATATTTAATTCTTAGTCATTGTTGTACTTTGAATAAACTGTTTTCTATACTTCAACATACACCTCGAATACGTCATTTGACTTGTAAATGTTTATTATCATCGTCGAATGATTTTGAAATGGTAAAACCAATGAAGTTATTCAATCTAATATACATTCATTTCGAAGGATCGTTCAATATCTTTAAAATGTTTATCAAAAAATTGTTCGTTCCAGTACAAATATTGCGCATAAGAAATTACGTAACTAGCGATTATCTTACCGGTCATGATTGGGAACAATTAATCAAAACACGCATACCTTACTTACGAAAATTCGATTATGAATATTATGAACATCGTCCATTCGATGATACATGCATTCTTTTTTTTAAGAAGATCAATCAATTTATTTCGCCATTTTGGATTAAACAACAATTGTTTTTTCAATTTACAATCAATATGGATCAAGAAAATGTCAATGGTTCAATTCATCCATATAGGTGAGTTTATTTTAGTATTTTCTATCGATAATTTGACATTTATTTATAGAAATATATGGATTGATATTTATAAACATCCAGAAATTGTCACATATTTTAATCAAAATACTGAAAACTCTTCAATTCAATTAATTAAAACTATTCAACTAAGTATCAATGGAAATTCTTCAGATGAAAAAAATCAATTATTTATTGATAAATTTAAATCAATTTTTTCTACGATTTATTTTACTCGTTTAAATATTAATTGTAAGAATATTTCTATTGAACAATTTGTTGAAATCATACATTTATTACCAAATCTTGATTCATTAAAAGTATCATATTTACCAACTATTCAATTGGATTGGTTATTCGATAATGATGGAGAAACTTGTTTTACAACTTCAATCAAAAATAAAATTACAAAAGTCAATCTTGTAAAAATGATTGATATTGAACAAATACATTTACTTCTCTACCTCTATCGTCGTATACAATATTTTCAAATAGATCTTCCAGTGGATATGGATCCTCAAATGATCGTACGATTTATTATAATAAAATCCAGTATATATACACCTTATTTCAATTGTTTATGTCTATCTATTCCGAATTTCAATGAAGACACGATTGAACAATTAGAAAAATTGATCGAATCGGAAAAATTACTATTTAACTATCGTATCAAATGTATATGTGATAATGTTCTTTTGAAATGGAATCGATTTTGATTTATCTATTGTGAATTATTTTCTTTATATAAATATTAAATATTTGTTTGTTTAAAACAAAAAAATATCTTTGGTAATGAAAATTATTTAAAGTTTATTTGAATGAATCAATTTTTGTTGCCTTAAGAATGAAAGCAAAAAAAATGTCACATTACAAATAAATCAATATCTGAACCATATTTATTTTTTTTTAAATTTTAATATTTAGTGATTGAACTATGTCACAGGCATTTATCGGCTCAAGTTTGTTACAATTGCTGCTATCGGATGTTTTGAATTAAGATTGTTGTATTAACAATAATTAGTAATAATACTATACGAAGAACCCTATTTAAGTGATTTTTTTAAAAATAAAGCATTGATAAAAATCTATTGTTTAATCTTCGACTACGTATATGAAATTGAAATTTGCAAGTGAATATGTTTAACGAAATATTAGTCTTAGAGAAGAAATAGATAGATACATGGATATAATTAGTGATTTTGCTTTTTATTGAATAAATTTTGAGGAATTTAGTATTAAACTCGGAAGATAAGGGTCAATTGAGTTTAAACTGGTCACCTATAAGCTATTGGCGGATAGTTTTCGAAGTTCATCGAGATCTCTATCAGCATCTCGCGTACTTCTCGAGCAAATATTTGCCGATTTGCTTTCAGTTAACCATAGTTGCCATCGTGTACCCACTGGAATGGCACCGAAACC